AACATTTTAACGTTTGCGCTCAACTGAAGTTCTCTGATCACTGTGTTCTGAGATTGTCCGCAAAATTACTGCCCAATAAAAACATGATTTGTGATATGGACAACCTCATATGACCTGAAAAGACTCTTTCCGCCAGACAAAAGGGTGCTTTCTAGAGCATGTTTTTTCTGTCACACTAATCTTTTTTCATATTGTAAGTATTTCACCGATTACTTCAATTACGCAGCCACAGGCCTTACTTAATGGAGATTTTATTTGGTCCGGCAAGAGTCATGTGTACCTTGGTGTTTCAAATTACTAGGACATTAGCTTGTCCCCAATCTTCGGTAAAATTTACGATGATGGACTTAGGGGCCATTAACCCCTGTCACTTTTCAGCTTCTGCCTCCCCAAAACCATTGCAAAATACAGCAGGGTCACCTTACTAAGTGAGTGCAACAGGGATAAGTGAAAACGCATGACTACTGCGGGTGAGTACGCAAGGAGACGGTGCGTGGGTGGATACTTGGAAACTTGAAACCGGATCGCTAGAGCATCAGCTTAAGCTTACTAATCAGGCACTTGGGGTATGTGATACGTGTATTCAACCGCAGTTCATATAGGAAGGTGCTATCCGCTATGCTAACCGATTGTTAGCGAAAGGTTTGCTGGTGCAGGCCACCACACGGCAACATAAAACGAATACGGCTGCTTGGATGTTGATCAGGTGGCTGTTGATCTGTTCGCCGAGCTTGGCAATTGGCTTGCCAAGGCTCGGCGAACAGATCAACAGCCACCTGATCAACATCCAAGCAGCCGTATTCGTTTTTTGTTGCCGTGTGGTGGCCTGCACCAGCAAACCTTTCGCTAACAATCGGTTAGCATAGCGGATAGCNAATTATTATATCACCAAAACACCACTGTGCGTGCAGTGGTGTTGATTTGGTAGTGAGCGAACACTGTGAGCCCTGTTTCACATTCCCAATTCAGTTAGAAGCCGAGTCTGCCTCACGCACTCCATCCACATAGGAACTTTTACACGCTTGATCTCCCAATTATTGTACTTCAGAGATCCCTTACTTGGCTCATTTGTTACTTCATCCCCTTGTCCTCCGTAGTAAGATCGTTTGTATTATACTTTTTAAAGCACCCACTAAGTTATATTTCAGGTGAACTTCTTAGAATACGTCCAGATAACTAGTCATCAATATAACATTGTGATATAGACAATGTGCCACATAATCTGACTTAGCCTGTATTGATCTAAGCATGTTTCGACCGTATTTTAGGGTCGAATTCCTTCGGAGACGGGATTTCGCGGTTATTTTCTGCACTCAGGCTTTTTCAAAAGTGTATGCTCTGGAAGGACTGCAATGCTTTTGTTTCATAACCTCCGGCTGTTCAGCTGGATTCTTTCGATAGGTCATAGAACCCCATAAAAGAATATCACGAATCTCCAAAATCTGACAGATGAAGCTTGGAACAGTGGAATAAGATATCTTAAAATTCAGAGAAATGAGTTTGGGCGGACGTCACACATAACCCATATTGCCAATCTACAACAGAAAGTTAGACTGTGAATATGGAACCCCTTCAAATTCAAAAGTATTTGACTGTGAACTCTCAACTCAGCTCGACGTTACCTTCAACTCTGATACAGTGCAATGCGCCCGACGAAGGGAAGATGGTGAATTCCATTACAGTTGTATGTACAAAGCGATTATGCCTATCTGGGAAAAGCGTATCGAACCAGTAAACTAACGAGTCAACAGTGGTGACAAACTTCGCATATGGCACCCACAGAGAATATAATGACAATAAGACTCTCAGATTCACCGATTCTTTATCCTCTAACGGCTGGAAGCAAAATCTTGGCCCTTGAGGAGTTAACAGGATTTCAAACGAGTAAGAGCTGCTTTGATCCAACCGCCAAACTTCGACAAATGTTTAGCAGACATCTCGGGTACAGACAACCCACAATATCGATATTTCTTGATTTCGAGGGCGCGTTCAATCCGATTGGCCAGCACGTTATTTTGGCGGTGTTCTATCAATAGGGGATACCTCAAAATACCGTTAGCATACTCTGTTTTTGTATTCACACACTTCTTGCCGTGTGAGCGTACATGGAAAGTACTCCAAAATACAGGAGAAAACACGGATGCCAAGTCTCTTCGATTCTGTTCAGTTTTGGCATCGATGCGATACTGAGGCGAAAACTAGAGGACTTCAAACTCCCTGTGTTCAAATCTTTACTGTAGAGACATTTGTAGAACTGAAGTGTGAAAGTGACACTGCCATAGTCTCTGAAGGCGAATGGGAGACAGAAACACCGATAGGCCAACAGCCGTCATGCCATCTTTCAGCACGCGTCTTGCGCCTACAAGGTGTGAAGCGGTGCTTCTAAATGTTCAGTCTCTGAAATTGCCCCTTCCGATTTAAAGTGAAGCTCTGGATAGTCTTACCTACATTGCTGGTTGTATTCGGTCTGACGGACGTGTTTGATGAATTAAGTGCACAAATCCCAAAGGCACGAATCATTTCCTCCAGCTTTCACCACATTTGGTATCAGAAGAGCATGTCACTGGTTCGCATGGGTCATACGCACTGTAGCAAATGGAGCCTAGCACGTGGACCCTAATACATAGTTTATTGCCGATAAACTGAACTGAGATGAACGTACCAGGTTAAAATGCGAGTCGTGTTGTTTCACCTTTGCCAGATTGATGCGTATTCAGGGTTTTGTCCACTGATGTCTCAGAGACGTTGCTTTTATCGGACACCACCGTCGAATTTGCGACGAGGTAATTAAAAGCGGATATCCGCTTGTGCAACAAGTGGTTCACTCGCGAAACCTACAGGACAATCAACTGTAGTGGTCCGGCAACGCGCTACGCCTGCCAAATCGTTGTCTACGGAGACGAATTTCGCCTCTGTACTTCAATCGGAATAGCACAAACTGTAGGTTGGGCAACATGTGACCCGGCGGTAGCGCCCTAACGATATCATGAGACGTTTGGATGTCGTTGGTGTTGCTGGCCTTCCACGATCGGAATTTTGTGATCCACCTGAGATTGAGTGAATTGCCGCAACGTATAGCAACCAAACAATGGTAGTGACCGTCATGTTGTCATTTTCTTTCAAGATTGTCTAACTAAGGAGTCGGAGATTTAGGTTCCTAAGGACCATTTTAGTAAGTTAGCACCAGGTCCCTTCCTTCTTAGACTTAACAGGCTGGCCGCAAGTGAGCTCCACGCCTAAATCTCTGAAATTCAAAGTTTTACGTAGCTATGTGAAATGGTTTTGTGCCGTTATGTGAGGCAACAGCAGGAGCTTCGAGATTTCAACGGGGTGCGAAATTAAAGTAGAGTGGCATAGATGTTTGTGAGAAGCGAACAGCGCCTCTGGAATTTTGGGCTGTATAACCTCCAACATGTTTGTCCGTTCAGAAGTGACAATTCACTTAGGTCCAAATTGTAGAAGGACCAGTCGGACGAAAATTATGTGAAGGCCTTCCTTCAGATACAGTGTCTCCTTTTTCACTTGGAGGCTTTAAACATGAACAAATAAGCAGCGGACGACAGTAAAAAAAACATTAATGCCTTTGCATCTGGTAAGAGA